GTAGAAACCTATCTGCTCTCTTTTCGGGATCTCTTCCTTCAGCGTTCTGCTACTCCATATCTGATAATACGAATATGATTTATAATATTATGAGGATTGAGGATTAAGAAGGGTAATTCAAGAGATACCCACAGCGGACAGGATTCGCCCGCCATGTTGGCTACTTGTTTGTCAGACGGACGGGCGGGTTCGAGATGATTCCATTGAAGCTATAAGCAGCTGGCAATGTCACCGCATCGCTCCACTGGCCTCTTTCACCCCAACGCCGTGTGAGAGCACCCTTCTGCAACACCATAGGGTGGTCCACAGTCTTCGAAACTCAAGCATTTATCATGGAGTCGGTGAAACGTTTACACAACTTGAATAATGTACAAAATTCATAAAAATTTTGAATTAATTAATTGCCGCACAAACCTATTGGTTGTAGGTTGTGACGCCGTGTGTACTTGTATCCCTGAAGATGGAGGCAGCACGTTCTTCAGAAACGTTGGTACTTACCGACAAGTTTATTCGGCGTTAGAATCAAAAGACTATAATTGACGTCTTTACTTCTACGAGAACCTGAAATGTCATCTTCTATGCAAACTGATATTTACTTTAACGAATCATTTGAAACCGGATAAGGGATGATTCGGAAGGGTTTCGCACAGACCATGGCGAAATGAATTCTTTTTTTAGATGATGTGTGGTGATATGTAGGCTAGAATGAGAGGCATGTGAATGATTGGTCTGAAGACAAAGAGCTGTTTAGCGACTGTAGAGTATTTTGTTACACGTTAACAATTTGACGAGAAATTTGTCCGTACAGTCAGTCTGACGCGGAATTTTAGTAGATAGAAGCTTAGTTTGTTGCTTAGATAATGAATAGTAGCTTGAAGTATATTAAAATAACAAATCAATATAAATAAATTCCGTGGCCACATATCATTCGAAAAAAAGCTTCCTGTAGCCTATATAGGTTATTAAGCCGAAACTGGCAAAGACCTGTGACCGACATTTACGCCTATATCTCAGAGTACTTAGTATGTTTTGTTTGCTTGTTACGGTGCGTCACGTGTTTTTAAATAAATCATAATTATATGAATCGATTACATGAATCTTACTCTCGCTGTGTTTTCATTGTAACCGAGATTTCCTCTCATGGGCACGTACGAAACTAGGTGAACTAATTTTTAAACAACCTGTGCTGCTACCTGGTGTTATAGTTCGCCCGCATCATCTTCCTGTTGTCCAAGCGCCAAAGTATCATGGAGCATTTACTCCAGATTTAAAGGCTTCAGTGAGCACGGAAAATACATAGCCTTCTTCCGCCGTGCCGACAATAATGATTTCATATATTCAGAAAACGCCGAAAAAGAAGCCTTTTAGGACGTAACTAAGAGATCAGCTGAAGAAACAAAAGCAAATAGGATGCGTTACTTTCGTTCGTGCATTTAAGTAATAGGTGTAAGAATTGAGGACTTTAGTGTAAGTCGAGAAATTTCTCTCTGTTTAATAAGCAACTCTTGGTTCGTTGATAAACGTTCGCTGTTGAGGAGGCTTTACGTGATAATATTCATGAATGTGTGTATGTACTGCTAGAGATTAATCCGAAGTTCTTAACGTGTTAAGATATTTATTAGTGTATTCACAACAACGTAATTCATAAAAAAATACACGAATTGAACAAAAAGTTTTAGGATAATTTAGATCTCCATTTCGTTGGTTTCCCTCCCAGTCGTACCCAGTAATAAGGCCTATATTTCGTTACTGTTCTCACTAAAAACGCGTGCAAACATTAAAATTTAAACACCGCACACACCTAATACATCTAAATTCATTAATTTATTTAAAATACGACTCCCATATTTTTCATGCGTTTAACGAATGAATTACTTCCAACTGGTCTTTGAAGTATTTTACAAAATTACGCTTTACCACGACAGTGTTAATTAATCCTTAGTTATTATTAAATTGTCATGATGTCATTTCAAATCCAAACACATCTTTATACTTGGGCACTGAAGTATATCAGAACTGCATTCTATTAGAGCAACTTGATCTAACATCACCCACAAAGAAGGAATCTGACTTTTCCTTCAGCCTGAAGGCGATGACAGTATCTGAAATATCGCATGTATAGGGTCCTATAATAGACCTACAGATTGCTAGGCATTGGGATGTTTTCTCCCATAATGATACTGGAATAGTCACCTTTAGAACAACAAACACTGCCGTTGATACACCGAAGATTATGCACTGGATATAAATCAGGGATCGCGCGCCAATCGTGTGCCTTCGTACACCAAAGTGTCCGCGCAAGTGTTCTCGAGTGCCCGCGAAGAACACCTTAGGGCGACGGAGTTTAGTGGCCGAAGCTTGCATTTGGGATACAGTTGAAAATGTGGAAGGATGATTACGTAATATAGTAATGTCTCCTCAATCGTGGAAAATGATTTCTTAACACGCGAGCAATTTTAAAGTATGTGGTGGTGCCTACCTTGAATTTAAAAACACTCCTAGTTGCCTCTAACCAAAAAAATATTTTGTCATCCCTGATCTAAATAAATGTTTGTTTGTGTCTGTAAGTGTTTTTCGTACATTTATATATTATAACACTGAGCTTAGATCAATAGGAATACCATTCCGCAAACATGAATGATTTGACATGGAAAATTAGTGTTTAAGAATTCTAGGACTTCACTTTTGTACTACCATGTAGCTTTCGTCGCCATAATATTTTCGTCAGCATTTAGTCGTTATTAATTTAATGTTTCTGTGTGTCCTGGATCCTGGATATATTAAAGTTTTATTATGCGTACTTCAATAAAAAAACGCAGGGAAATAAAATACAGTACGTATAGTGGTCTGAAAGAATTCTCTGACGGATTTGAAATTTAGAAAGTTCTGAGGAACATTAAAACTGGATGTGTGTACTTTTCTAACTTTGTGAATAGTTCGGATGTGCTCAAACCTAACATATATAAACTGTTATGCATATTATAAAAGTTATAATAACTGACTAATGTAAATGAAGACGACATTTTTTAATATCCATTGTTTAGCACTGCTGTTAGGCCGAATCATACTTACCAATGTTTGTTAATTTTTAGAGTTACATAATAGAATGGAGAAATAATGATGTTTTGGCCAATTACTTCTTTAAAGCTCTCTCTCTTCAATGTTTAAAAGCATGTCCATAAACTAATAATCTTAAAAATTACACATTTATGTAAAAGATAGTACATTTTTATGAAGATTATAACCTTCTGGATATTGCGCCATGTAATCTAGTAGAAGTTGGCTGACGTTTCAGAGGTCCGTACTGCTTCCAATCTAGTAGAAGTTGGCTGACGTTTCAGTGGTCCGTACTGCTTCCGTCATTAGGACACCATGTTCATACTCGCTGAAATATTTTTAATGTAATATTAGGACACCATGTTCATACTCGCTGACGTAAAAAACTGAGGTCTCACTTCGTACATTTTTATTTTGAGTAAAATCTTTTTAATGTAAAACTTCGCTGTAGAAGTCTCTCTACACACCAATCAACATTCCATGTCGCCTTCCGGGCACTACAAGTGCAGTTTCTAATTCTAATGTTTATTAGATACTGTTTTATAAAATAGTGTCGAGCAACGCTGTTACCTTACCAGGAACACTATCTCCCTTGTTCTTCCCATCCCACAGGATCTGTAGTCTTTTCTTAGTCCTGGATGCTGAAGGAGGGAAGCCTGAAGTGGAAACTGGCGTGGAGAGAGACAAAGCGAATGGATCTGACAGGGAAAATAATTTTCTTCAATCGTGAAGATCTCATTTAGCTCAAGAACGCTTATAAATAATCCAGCACCTCTTCATTATGAGAGAACCTCAAATCCAAGTCGATGCGTATTCTTAAGATGATGTCCGTCTTCTGGGATGTTTCGCCGTGTCGTTTCGTGTATGTCGACCGTCGCCTCCATTATCAGGGTCATCATCACAAACGAAATTGCGACGATGGATTATATGGCTTTAAACTGTTTGTTATGAATTAAGGCTTCTTCCCTGAGGGAGCATTTGCACGTGGAAAGTGTACGTTCATTTTTTACCCTTCTATCAAACAGACGTACTGAAATTGACTCTACGCTTTGTACAAGATTTTGTTTAATATCTTCGTGTGTTAGAAGCATGTCGTTTTAACAGAGGTCCTCCATCTGCTGTATTTGTTGGGTAATATGCTATTAACTATATGGCGAGTTCTAGCTACTAGCAGACAGACACGTCACCTTGGGAAGTATTATGTAAATACCTTGACCGAAACAACGAGAACGTCTCCAGTTGTTATTTTATCCCCTCGATCCATTCCAAAATTATCGACGAAGGAACACTTCCTTCTTTAACTTGAAGGCGTTCGCCTCACCTTTCTTCAGTTCCATAATTTCTTCTCCTATGCATGTTTTTCAATTATTTTTCAGGCAAATGTTTCCACAAATGAAGTTCCGTGTATCCGGTTTGGACTCGAAAGCCAAATACATTCTCCTGTTGGATATAGTGGCAGCTGATGACTACAGATACAAGTTTCACAACAGGTATACCAACTGCTCTAAATAAAAGTCACTGTTTGTATTTCTTCACAGGCGCATGTTCCCTGCCTACAAAGTTCGGGTAACAGGACTTGATAAAAAGGCCAAATACATCCTACTAATGGACATCGTGGCAGCAGATGACTGCAGATATAAATTCCACAACAGGTACAAAGAAAGCAATAAAAATTATTCTCAAAAACAAAAGGAAAGAGAATTTTTAAAGGAATTGGAGGACATTCCCTGTAAAATATTAATTTTCCAATAATTCACCAGATTTAAAAATGATAAAAACAATGTTACATATTTTAGAAAAGGACGTAATTTTGTTTTTGTTTTTTTGAAATTGTCCACCACAGCACGTAAGCTCGTTCAAAAAGTTCTTTAACCTCATTGGTCGTTTATGTACACAGATCGACCAATCAGCTTACAGAGCTCCAAATCTTTTGTCGTGTACCAAAAACACTTCGATTGCCTGAAATTTAACTACTTGCAAAACAAGTGTACCAGTCGGAGGCTTTTCCCCAGTGCATTAAAAGGAGTTAACTTGTGAGTTTCAAAGAACAAATACAAATTGGATTGAGAAACAAATTTGCCGGGCCTTTTTGTTAGTCGAGCTCTGTGGAGTGGTGAGAAGCATGCGCTACTCCTTCAGTGTGGATGTTTGTTTGTTTGTCTGTTTGTTTGTTTGTTTGTTTGTTTGTTTGTCTGTCTGTTTGTGGGTTTATTCGACCACCGCCACCTGGACAACAAGCAGTTTAAGCCGGAGAGTCGCATCATGAATATCAATAAGGCCTTTGTTATCTTTCTTTGTTGAAATAGCCTACATGCAGTGTTAAAAAATTTCTTGCAAAATAGAAACTCTATTTTTGAAAGGGTATTTCACTAGAAATGTTTTATCCTTCAGGCACAACACCATTTTTCGTTTAACTCTGTGTCAACAGTAAGCAACTGTCATAAATCCCCCGTGCAACCAACCTAGATATGGAAAATTCATGTTGCTTGTGTCTGATTGTTGTAGAATTGTAACTACGTATTCACTGTATGCAGACTTTTTGAACACTCTGTACATTGAGGATAACAAAGTTATTTTACCTCGTAATGTTTTTTCGCACTAACAGAGTTTTACCCTTTCTAAGTAAAGCTCTGTTGAGTGTTATATCAAGACTTGTTGTCCAGTAAGTTGAAACGATTACTTAACAATGATGGTCTTTGCTCGTCGCAAATGAGCGTTCTGAACCAGTTCCGTTACAGTTTAATGGAAACGGACTGGTTTTCATTTTGTAACACTCTCTTATGAGCACAAAGTCAAAACGCCCTGTGATGAAGAATAATAGAATTAGAATTTCGAAATATAAATGCAATTAAAATATTTTGAATGCATTCTGTCAGTATTAGGCTAAGTTGTATTTTATATTTATATATATATATATATGCATTTAAATTCAGCAAAATTACAAACACTTGGCACTTCCAGGTGACCAAAATTTACTCTTGTACATTCTGCCATAACTGGATATTCTAGGTTGGAAAATACCTCTGATTTGAGAGTAATCAAATAGCATTAGTACCCGGTACGCTTTTTCATTAGATTAGTTTATTTTACTAATATTTGGTGTGCTAGAATTGAGGTTATCACGGCGGTGAATGTATCGATGGTTGTCTTCTGGGTTGTAACTCCTTGAAGATGAAGACAGTATGTTCCTCTGAAATGCTGATATCTAAGTCCACATGGCGTTACAATCGGATGAAGAGCATCTACTTATATTTGGCGCATTAAACTGCAAAATACTTGGTCCTACCTGGCTCAGTCATGGTTCTTTTTCATAGCCGTGGTCTCTAATTTTATTTTACAATTCCTGGACGTCTATTACATCACTGCAGAGCGCCATTTGTTTAATGTTGTAGGGACGTATGTCTTGAGACGCACTAGAGTTCATATTTTTTGTGTCCAGTCGGTGGATGGTCGCTGGAAAGGCAGATCCCGAAATGCCGAAACGGATGTACATTCATCCGGATTCTCCGTCCACAGGGGAGCAGTGGATGCAGAAGGTGGTGTCGTTCCATAAGCTGAAACTAACCAACAACATCTCGGACAAGCACGGCTTTGTAAGTACTGTACGTTCGTATCAACACATACTTTATTACTAGAAATAAATAGAGATATGGTGGCTTATCGGGTCAGTTGGTACTGCACTAATATTTCAAGAATTGAAGGGCTTCTCAGAAGGACACTGACTTATACAGTTTCGCCGGGATTTGATTTGCATCGCATAAGCGTTCAGAGTCGTAATACTCGAAACCCTATTGGCTGACAGTCACGTCATCGCCAGGCGCTTTGCCAGTTGTGTTATGTATTTGAAAACTTTACAGCGGACGTATCAATTTCTGATGCAGAAATGAAGATTTTATAATAGTGTCATATTCCTTTGCCAACGCTGTGTTACACGCAAAGAATTATAGGTACTGTCATCTCTGAAAATTCGGAATTGATTCTGTGTTTTTGAGAGAACAATATCGGCTGGATTTTAAAATATCAATGAATAAAATTTCATAAATGAAATTTAGTTTTTTTCAAATAATTGTGCTGTTGGAAAGCGTTTAACATGGAAATTTTTCCCGTCTTTGCACATTCCAGACATGTTGTGTCGTTTCAAGATCTGAAATCTGTAGTTAACCTTGCATATTATTTCCCGACTTAAAATTTCCAAACTGATATGCAATATTTTCTATCGTATTTAATGCGATGTTCCTTCGATCAACCCTTCAATTGCTGGAAAAGGTTACTTATATGTTATTAATTATCTTAATTTGTTTTGAATTTAGCGAAATTGTTGATAATGGCTCAATGTGTAATATATGAACATGGCTATTTGCAGCAGTACGCTAGGTTTAAGCTCTATTTTATTTATAGATACAACGATTAGGATTCCAAATATAAATTTGTGCAAGGAGTCTATATTTTACACTACAGGCCTGTAATCTGATGAAATATTTTCTCTGAGTAATAGGTCTGCAGTTGGCCTTGTATTACAAATTGAGTTCAGTTTATCATTCGGTTACTCGTCGCCGACTTCAAAGTGGAAAACAAATGTAAAATGAATTACTTCACATTCAGAATACAGATCTTACAGCAAAACCTTGAGCAGCTGCATTCAATTCCTCTCACGTAATCGCAGTGCCAGCTGCATCCGTAATTGTGGTAGCGGTATAACTTTCGCAGATCAATGTAATAAACTATGTGGACGTGGTGTGCGGGCCGTATGTTGCTGACCTTCATAAGGTGTTGAAGATGTTAGACCAGTGTTGGGACAAATAAAAGAACAGCAACAATCATCTTTATCTTGCGTGTTATATCAAGTCTGGGCTCGCCTGTATTAAAGGTATCAGTGAATACGTTATTTCACGTGTTTGAAAAACGGCGTCTATTGATTAAACGTAAATAACAACAGAACAGGTAGTGATTAAATGCTGTCTTCCTATTGGTCGACATTCACCGATTTATCTTAAGCACAGTTCTTGCTACTTGAGCAGTGATTCAGTTCAGGTAGTTATTTGACTTTTTTAGTTACAGAATTTTCTAATTTTGAACAGTAATCGGCTCTCCATTTGTACTCATTTTTACATTGGACTGTATCAATTATATAGAAATTATGAAGGACGAGAGATGAGTTTGAGGGGGCACGTAGCATGCATGGAATAAATTAGATATATAAAAAATTGTCAGGAATTCTTAGAGGAACAGACAACATAGGGGGTTTAAGGTATAGGCTAGTGAAATTGAATTTTTCTGGTTAAGAACAGGGTATATTTTCAGGTTGTGTGAACACAGTAGGGATATTTCAGGCTCCATATATACAGTACTGAGATACTGGGAACGACCCGTTCTTCAAGTGCCTGAGAACTGCGGGTCCCAACTTTTCGTTGGCTTGAGCTGTAGACGTTCGGTAGGACTCCTTGGACGAGGGATCGGCCCGTCGTAACCATATATACAGGGCGTTTCTTTATCAACTGCGCAGCTATTAAATTCTAAAGAAAGACATTTCATCATCAAATTAGTCATGGAGTTGTTTCGTATATTAGAGACCTTGGGATTGCCTGGTCCTCATCAGAGAGGTCTGCCTTGCATATAAATGAGTATCCCAGAATTAATTTTATTTCGGAAGAGAGCAGAACGGCTGAGTACAAGATATGAGATTTTATGTTTTCACAACAGTAAACATACTGCCTTCATCTTCGGGGATGAATTTTCCTTTGAAATGTTATCTACCAACAAGTCCGCTCGACGTTATAACTCAGAAAATGAACAACGACGTCTGAGCAGCAGAATTTGTTGAATATTTCTTATTAAATGCAATGACTACTTCGCCCGGTGTCGCGGCATTTAGGACGGAACTGTACCTCTTTCAGTCCGTATTCAGAGGACGCGAGCAACTCACCCAGAGGCGGCACTCACAACAAGACTTTTGGAGGGTGAGCTTCTAGTAATTCTACACTTTTGGGAAAATGTTTGGCTGGATACATATTGACACTAAGGACGATATTGACACACGTTTCCATACTCCCATGCCGACCTATTCTACCTTAATGACTTCTGTACACAACCCATAAGACTTCCAAACACACGGTTAGTTAGCCAGCACGCTGATGGATCGCAGTTGTATCTTCGTTCAGCTTCCGGTCCAACTATTGATTTCCGTTTCGTCTTATAGGGCGTCGAATGTTTTTTATTCTATTATTCAACGACGTGTTGTTATAACTAATGGTATACTTCGTTATGTATTGCGGAATGCTAATGGTTAAGATGTAAACTCTTAATAAAATCTTCTCGGGCATCAGCCACGTTAACTGGTTACAGTAGTAAACCGACGTTTCGGGAACCAACTCTGTCCCCATCATCAGGGTTCTGATGTGTCTGGATACCTCGGAAGTCGACTGGTTCCTTTGCTATTTTCCAAGTTTTAAGAATATACGTCCTTCTGCCCGTAGCATGTTATAGCCTAGTTCTGCTGGGTCGTTTCTGGAATTCTGATCGTCGCTTAGCGCTGTGATCCGCAACATTACTTTTTCCCCCACGGCACACTCTAATTTGTCAAAGACACATGACGACTTACCGTAAAATTTTGCCTCACGAAAAGTACGTATGAAACCACATAACCATAAATATCTGCATAAAAATACTTACCCTATATAAATGCAGGAATATTAAAATAAAACATTACACATGTTTTATATTTTTGTTACGAGCTTTACAAGAAAGACTGCTAACAGTTACTCATAATGTGTTTGTTGGAGGTCCTCATCACTGCCGTTTAGATTCTTTCTCAATTTCTGGAGGTTTGATTTTCGATCAAGGGACTTTACGACTCCGAGTCAGTCCTTGGTCGTACATCTTCTTCCTCTTGTACCATTCTTCTTCTCGCGCTGCCGTCCAGTCAGCTTAAAAACAGTACAAAAGGTAGTTAAACTAATACTGTGGGGTTGGGGAACCAACAAAGAGGAACATGAACTGGAGTTGGTGGAAATGTCCACCGGAGCGGCGACAGTGTTTGTCGGGACCAGAACTCGACACTGCGGCATCGTCTTTCATTTTCCGCCTGGACAAACCAAAATTGACGAAGAGAAAGGAAGATCCTAGCGAAAGCGGGCGAAGTGGGAACTGAAGTAGGAGGTTACAAAGACGCCAACCGTCAGTTTTCTGCTACCGCCAAGAGAGCGGCACGCCTGCATGCCTTTGTCGTCCTCGGGAAGTTCATCTTTCAGTTTTGGAGACAGTGGCGAATTTGTATTTATGAATGTTGTGCGTGCCACTGCCTTTAGATTAAATTAATTGGCGTCATTAAAGCTTTTCTTCTATCACGGAGCGACGTGTAAATACTCAAAAGAACTCGGCTTGGAAATAAAACTTATTTAGCTCAGCGTCAGTGAAATTAGGATTGTCATCTTCCATTTTCCCATCCCTGAACTACGTGACATCAATAAAACGACACGTAATGTTTCTATTTGCTTATTATTATCGTTCGTCATCGTCATCATTATATTCCTGCCGCTTACATTAACATTGACGACGGCGTCCGTCTTATCACATAAAGAATTAAACTCAGAAGTGCAATTTTAAATTCTCGCGGTGGCCATTATGAAAATGGCCGTTTTATGAGATGTTCCGCCGTGTAGACTTGTAGAAGTTTATCGGCGTTCTTATCTCCCTGATGACGGAAACAGCAAGTACCTCTGTAACTTTTGTAAACTTACACCAAGCTACACTGCGGAACAACTGATAAGACAGCCATCTTCAAATGACTACATAAATTTGTACGCAGATATTTTAAAGCGTCGTTAAAACAATCTGGACATGATTGTCATTTATAAGGACTCCAGGAACCTTATGGAAACGTGTGGAATTTAATTTATCTGGCCGGTGTTAAGGACCAGCGAGGGACTGTTCTGAGCCCTTTTAGGCTAACTGTGTGATTCTTAGTTTATTAAGGAATCTGCTTCATGGAGTTGATTCTGTCTGGATTTATTCTCAGGCATTCAAATTTGCATTATAATATGTGCAATTGTGTTATTTTATTTCATGAACACGAAATTAATTTTGCGGCTTTATTTATAGCGTGTTCTGAATGTTGAAACCCGTAAATTGACGTATTCTAACTTCTGTCGGATTAAAATTTTGTTGTGAACAAGCCATATCCAACGATTTAATTGTTATGACAGAAAAACTTCAGTTTAGTCAAGGGCGCTTTATATTATTCACTAAAACATTGTATCGGCAAAATATGATAACGAAACTCTTAATATAAACATTTAAATGTTGTCTTTGACAGTGTATGGATGTCGTTGAATATTATTGTGATTCCTAAAAATGGTTTGTTTTATTCTATAAATATAGACATGTTAAACTGAGTTTGTTTGAGCGGTTTTAACTCGTGCTTTGTCAGGCTGCTTCTTACTTATGTCCGTCTGTCTTTCGGTGTCTGGAAGCTAGTGGCGGTCGCTTTTAAACTATTCTCGGTATAACACAGTGGTAGTGTAAGTGGTTCTTCACTCCAAAGCCACCCTTCTAGTGTTGAAGAGGGGAGGCTATTTACCGAAGCGGATTTAGGACCATTTCACCCCTGGTAAGGCCTACAGTAGTGATGTCTTCTTCCCTTTACAACACAGGTTTTTAAGCTTGTATCTCCTATTATCCCCCTCACCCATCCAGGGTATCAGTCCTTGCTAAGCCTTATACTACTAAGACGACAAAAAGCTTTGCTTGTCTGCCATTTTCCAACCTCCTACTGAGTCAGACGAGGAACACAGTACTGAATAGAACGTCTATTGTTTTACGATGCACAGTTACGAAATGTCAGTAATGAGCGATAACCGGGAG